AACATGGAACCATGCGCCATATGGACCATACTAGTCTAGTACTACATACCCATAATCCACAACTCCTGAGAAATCTACCAAAACTACACAAAATACCTAATCTAGTCAGGATCTTTTTAGAACATCACAAAAACATGAGAAAACCTCAATATAGAACCCCAAAAACACATCAAAACTTGTTCAGTAATGCAGGGTGTGTCGCTCGGCCCAATGGGCCTAGCGACATGTATCACATCACTACCAACTACCATCCTCCAAATTTTTTTTGAAAATTTTAGGAAGCTCACGATCATTTTAGATGCTTACAAGATATTTTGGGTAATTTCTTGGACAGATATAGCTTGGGATTTGACCAAATCAAGCTTAGGAGTCCTGATCTCAAATTAATTATAAGTCTTATTTTTAATTGGGATTAATGCCTAATTGAAGCCTATGTCAACCCACTTAGTCTCCCATAATTCAAATCTGAAAATCCAAAGAAAGTCCGTATAGATTAGATAGATAATTCCTTTGTACTAGAGAAACCCTAGAGTTAGTAAACCTTAGAAAATCCTAAGTCTTGAAACTGTAATTATCTAGAATCTTGAAAAACAAGATTTATAAGCATTAGGAAGACAATGCCCTAAGCAAGATCAAACACTAGGAAGAAGATGCCCTTGGTAAGTTCTTCAAGCAAGATAAAGCAAAGGAGCGAATGAACCCACAATATGTTATGGGTCTAAACTTTGAGTTTTTTGGTATACTGAGCAAACTGATTCTACTTTAATTTTCCGCTTCTTTGATCTTTAGTATAATCTCAATTTTAATATTTCTTTTTTTATTTTAGATTTTGCATGATTTCAAGCTGGTTTTGCCAACAGTTCTCAAGGAGGGTTGATCTTTTAATGTCAGGATTCATCTATAGACTGTAATTTGACTAATCCGTAATAATCTTTACCGATTATAAATTTTAACCATTTAGAGCATAAATTTGGACTAGGTTTCATCTAAGATCTTTTCAGATTTTATTATAAACATAAGACGTTTCCTGTTTTCTAGGAATTTAGGTTTCTTGTTTGAGGGTCTATGGTGATCAGGTTGAGCTAAATAACGATGATTCTGTGGAGCTAACACATTGTAAAGTCAAAATAAGAACCAAACATATGAGCAAGTTGAAGAAGAGAGCAAACAAGGTGAGGTGGAAATCTTGAAAGAAGTAAGAATGGAGAAGGAAAGCTACAAAAGGAGCTAGGAAAAGCAAAGTGCTAGAGATCCTAGTGGAGCACTGGCAGCAAAAGCAACCACCTCCTAAACGATTATGTGGAAGGTAAAAGTGAGATTGGATTTTTAGAGCGGGAAAGATAGATTCAGTTTTTAGAGAGAGAATGAGTTTTTAGATAGAGAAAGATATATTGGATTTTTGGTTTTTAGAGAGAAAGAGAGAGATTGAGTTTTTAGAGAGAGAGAATGGGTTTTAGATAGAGAAAGGTTGATTGGGTTTCTAGAGAGAAAAATGGGTTTTTAGAAAGAGAGATTGGATTTTCAGAGAGAGAAAATGGGTTTTTAGAGAGAAAGAGAGATTGTGTTTTAGAAAGAGAAAGAGATATATTTTTTTAAAAGAGAGAAAAAAAAAAGGGTTTTTAGAGAGAGAAAGAGAGATTGGGAGATAGTTTACAATTGGGTTACCAAACATAAAAAATTGTATGCATAGGAATTCCAAATATGTTGAACCAAACATGGGAAAAATAGGATTGAAAAACTATTGTGTTAGGAATTATTTACATATAAAAATTGTTTTATATATGCAAACTGATAGGAATGAACCAAACAAGCCCTTAGGTTGTGTTCCTTCTTTGAATAAGCATGGCGATTAGCCTGACTAGCAAAACTTGGTAGAAGCTGAATATTATTAAAATCATTATTTATTTTAATATTATATCATTATTAAAATCGTTGGAGGGTTGAGATACCCTTTTTGTCAAAGGGTATCTCCAAGGCAACAACTAAGCATCAAATAGAGAGATGTATTTATTTTTTATCTATGGAAAATTATTTCTAGCGGGTTGGATTGCATTTTTATATATGCTGTCCAGAAAGTGTAAATGCATTTCTATATATGCTGTTCAGAAAGTGTAAATCATCAATCTTAAAGATGAATGCAAGTAGGTGGTCCATCTAAAAACAACGTCTAAATGTTTTCTTACGGTTAGATTTGGTGATATCCAAAATCACCCACATTAGAAAGTCTCATATTATGTGGGATTGAGATATTCTCTTATTATATGGGATTGGGATATTATCATATTATGAAGAACCGACGATGGGATTGGGATATTATCATATTATGTAGAACCGATGATTCTGCACAGTAAATCGCCCCAGTTCTTCGCGTCATGACGTTAAGACCGTCCCAATCTTCTGCAGTTCTTCGCATCATGACGTTAAGACCAGCCCAATCTTCTACAGTCAAAGGGAATTTTCGGTTCTTCACGTCATGACGTCCAGACCCGCCCACAGGTCTGCACGCTTCGCGGGGCGTAAGTTCTTTCACGCACATGTGCTCACAATCTACACACTTCGCATGATCTCGTTGCTTCACACGCGTTGCAAATAGTGAGTACAAAGAACTAGTTATTCATATAAATTTGCTTATCTCTCTTCAATGTGGGAATATAAGAAAAGGTAATACCTTAAAATGTTCATATATTATATATTTTGTTAACGGTTTTATAAGCACTAAGTTGCAAGTGCTATACCGGATATTACGTGAGCTCATTGTGAAGACAAATACGGGCTCGACTACTATCGTAGAGGAATTGTCTTTTTTTCTCTGTTTTTTTGTTAAATTATTTTCTTATCAAAAAAATTAAAGGTTTTTTTGTAAAAAAAAAAAATAAAAGGTTTTTATCAATTTCGCTTTTTCTCAATTTTTTTTCTTATCAAAAAAATTACAAAGGCTTTTTCTAAAAAATAAAAATAAAAGCTTTTATCAATTTCTCTTTTTGTAAAAACATTTCTTATCTACAGAAAAAAAAAATTTGTATAAAAAAACTGAAAGGTACTTATCAATTCTTTTTCTTGTCAAAAAAATAAAAAGTAAAAAGTTATTGTGAAAAAAAAAAAAAGTTCTTATAAAAAAAAATACAAGTATTTTTGTCAAAAAACTCATTTCCTATTTTTTGTTAAAATAAGTTCATATTTTTGTCAAAAAAACTCATTTCTTATTTTTGTCAAAAATACAACAAGTATTTTTGTTAAAATAAGTTTATACAGAGAAAAAAAACTCAATATTCACATATTGATGAAAAAAATAAAAATTAATAATGTAGTACCACGATTTCTTATTGGATTCTTAAAAAAACAACATTTATAATGAATTTTAATAATTTTTTTAGATTCGTTTAAAGCTTAATCCGACCGATCCGGATCGTAGATTTAACGATCCGGATGGGTTTTTGGGGTGCCCGATCCGGGGTACCGATCCATTTTTTAAACCACTGGATCTGCTAGATCTACAGTATTTTTAAAACTTTAAGTTTTATAACTGAAGATGAAAATATATTTTAGAACTATCACAAAAATTTCCAGTATTGAAACCAAATTTCCCATACTATTTGAAGGTTCACCCTACTTTGATGATTTAGAGCCTCGGCTCTATCCAAACCGCACCCTTTTGTTTAACGTGAGTAGTGGGAATCCGTCAATGTTAAATAATAGCATTGTCGTACCCATTGTTAGGCTTTTCCATCTACCATAACCAACATCGAGAACTAAAGTTGTTATCCTCCTTATTTGATTGTTTAAAGTGGCACCTTATACAAACCTCACTCATATATATTATAGTAAGATATATATGGAGAACTAAAGCGCACCTCAAAAATCTATCCAAAAATATTGTTTTGATATTGGTTTCTTCAAATAAGTTTTAATTTTCTAACAAAAAAAAAAAAACTTTCGTTTTGATGTTAAAGAACCCTACAATTGATGACCTATACCTCGAGATGACCTATATATAAAAAGAAAATGAATCTGAACGGTGATGCGAGACACGTGCCTGACATGAGTGCGTCGTGCGAAGTGTAAAGTTCTCATCACTTGCCCTTGCGCCCTCATGGATGTGTGCTCCACACAAGCCTTCACACTTTCCCTTTTATTCCATTAACATGAAGATGGGAAGTGTTTATGTACAAGTACAATACATTCGTTTATCTATTATTAAATGTACTAAAAACGAATATCTTCTCTCATCATCATGATAATCCTGCCTTATCCCTCAAAAGAATATTTTGAAAACTATATTGTAAGGTCATATTATTTTGAAGGGTGCACTTTTCATACGCCTCTGTAGGTGTAGAGGAGCGGTGCCCTTCAAATTTTATGGTATATAATTTTGACGTAAAATGTTATTAGGATTATCTCAAAATTTTTTTTTATATCTAATTATTAAATTTCAAATTTTAAAATTCGTTAAAATCAAGTAGATTTATAAACATATGAAAATCTTAAAAATGTACAGTGTAGATAATATGTTGTAAAATGCACCATTTTTGAGATTTAAAATCTTTTTATTTTTTATAGTCATACATTCGATGTCGAGATGATCAATCAAAGGGTTTTTCAATATTAAAACTACGTTTTCCGATGAATTTTTGAGTGGCATCCATAGTTCAACATTATAAGGTAGCATCCTTATATAACTTTTCCTATTTTGAAATACTACCCACTTAAGTAGTAAAATACTAACAAGGGACTTCTAATCCTAATCTGTGATGATCTTGAACAGTTATTGCAATACTTTGCGCAGGTATAGGGTTAAAAACGATGCTGATAAATCTCACGATATTTTTTTATCACTACATTCATAGAACTTATCATCGAATAACCTATTCATAACCATATCAATGATCTCGAAACTAACTCGCCTTATTGGACATTGGAAATTCACAAAACATTACTCAGTTCCCACCATTACATCACTGAGACAGAGGGAGTGAGAAGGAGGCTTGAAGTTCAACGTGATCTCAGATGCCTGCAAATTCCTTAAGTCCATACTCTTTCTGATTTCTCAGGTTGAGGAAGTATTTGTTGAAGAATTCAGTGTAATCGAAAGGTTTAAAAACCTTAGGGTGGTCTTCATCCACGAGCGCTTCGGGTGCATCAACAATTACATGATGAGTTGGGACAGAAAATAGCCCATAAGAATATCTGTCCTCGCGTCCCTTTAACATCACTCGATGTGTAACCGGATGAAGCCTACCATTGCTCAGTGCCTGTAATGAATACTCACAAAGAAAGAACAACAGAGACAAATGTATTTACTAACTATGATAGATTTTGTAGAAGGGAAAATTAGATATATTCCAAAAAAAAAAACATTTTCTAGTCATTCCTTGAATTTTAAGCAGAGATCAGTGTCATTTATAAAACAAATAAAATAAAGAGTAAATAGCATCCATACAGGATTGTCATCCAGATCAGAGAGACAGCAAATGAACGGGTGCACATGCAATCGAACACACACAGAGAGAGGGAGAGAGAAACAAACCATGAAAACATCGCCTATCATGACGACGAAAGAGTTTCCGGAAGGGAGCACTGGTATCCAGGAACCATCTTTAGATTGCAACTCCAGACCACCGACTTGGTCTTGGTACAGTAGGGTTACCATGTTCTTGTCCGTGTGAACGTTGAGAGCATCCATTTTTTCGTCTCCCTTGGGGGCCTTGTATCTCATCATGCGAACATTGTAATTTGTGAATGTGTCAAGGTCATTGAAGTATTTCTCCACACCATAACTCTCCCAAATCATTACCTGGATCATTTTATTCAACTCTGTTGCCTTCTTTGTTATGGTCTTCACCGTTTCGCTGTGGCCCTCAAAGTGAATTAGTTCGAGAGAGAGAGAGAGTTTTCTCTTTCATCATTGGGAACATATGAGTATTGTGGATTGAGAGAGAGATGGAAGGAGAAAGAGATGTTACCTCATGAAAAGTTTATATCAGGGTGAGGTTCTAAACAATCAAATTAAGACGCGCGTTAAAAATTCACAAGAAGATGTTGTTTCGATGCTTAAAAACCCTCTATTCGATCATCTTAGCCTCAAGATTTATAGACATGAGAAATGTTTTGGTACCAGAAACTCTCACGACTATATTAAAATATGTTTTCACCCAAACTATGAAATTGAAAGCTATTTTTCCAAAAGGAGTTTAGAATGAGTAGGTAAATAAATATTAACTAATTTTAAAATTAAATGATCTTGACAATAAGTTACAAGAAACATTATTTTTTGGACTTAATTTTTTGTCATATCTATATATATGATGAAGTCGAGATGATCAATTGCATGGTTTTTCAACATTGGAAAGTCCTTTTCAAGTGGATTTTTGAGGTGCACTATTGTTCTCATAACAAGTTATTTGCGAAACATGTAAAGAAGATGAACTTCTGAAAGGTGCACTGTAATAAGGTGTCACAAATAATTCAAGTATGATGTAACTTTGAAATCTTACTAAAAGATGGAGTTTTAGTGTCAAAAACCCTTAAGAAGACATAATCATATTTTCTCGCTCAATTATGAATTTTAAACCTCCAAGTGATGTAAATCGAGCAAAGCTATAAACACTTAAAAAACATTGGGAATTGATGGTCTAGAAAATGTTGTAAGATGCACTATTTTTATTACATGAAATTATTATTTGTTCCTAATTTTTTTTGTATAGATCAATTTAAGGCTTTCGACATTTTTTAGTAGATTTTTTAGGTATCATTGCCTTTGCAATGTAAAGATGACATCTTATAAAAACCTTTTCCTTCCAAAACTATGTAAAGAGGAGGTTTGTTCCTGGGAATTCAAATCTTAATTTCATTCCTGACAAAAAGAAATTTAATAATAAAACTATGAAAATGCTTCTATTACAAAAAATATGCATACCGCCTCACTATATGATGGAAGTTAACCTGAACTTGGAATTTCCTTGGGGCCACATCAGGTTGGTGAATTGCTCAACATTCTCCGACTGGTCGACATGGTCGATGCAAGTGGCCTCGTACAATGGAGCCCGAGGGTAAGGCACAAGATATCCACGGAGTGGGTACTCAGATCGGTTTTTCACCTTCGTTTCCTGCGGAAGTTCGAAGAGTTCTTTCATAGCAGAGAACATTTCCTTCTGCAAAGACTCAGGGACCACAGTATCATAGACGGCCTCGAAACACCCTATGCCTTCTAGAGCTTGTCGCACCGCTCGTGCTAGTGTTCTCCATCTCTCAGTTCCTGGCTTCAAGTCTCCAGAGAAATTGAGGACTGGTATGGTCATAACTGAGGCATAACCCATGTTCAAATCAAATGGGACTGATTTTTGTTGGGTTGAATGGGGATAGATTTGATTTTTTGGTGGGTTTGTTCGATAGAGGTGCGTAACATATGGAGCAGGTTGATCAGGAGCAGACAAAGGCTCGGAAAAGCATAAAATCAGAAACCTTATAATGAGATTCCATGGGCACATAGTCCAGTTAGACCACGGATATGAATCAAATAAGACTAAGTTATGTGGAATCTTGGAAGGACACTGTTTGTATGAATCCACGTAGAAATGAGTCGCCTCTAAAAAATATATTTTTGAGATTGGATTTTTAGACTTAATTTTTAAGGACATGTAATCTCTAACATGAAGATCATGAATACGAAAAAAATAAATAAATTTTCAAGATTAGAAATAATAATTCTATTAAGAAAACATTTGGACAATTAATTTCAATTGTTTTTTAATGGACCACCTTTTTGTATCCATCTTTAAGATGGATGCTTTATACCATGGGACTGCATATTGTGGAAATACGGTCCCACTCGCATGAAACAATTTTCCATCATGGAAATCATTGAGAAAAAGAAACGACGGGCCTGTGAGGTTGTTAAAAGACAAAAACGGCCCGTAATGCCATCTACCAATTTTGAAATGTCCTTAGGGTTCCCTACCAGACCTTCTGCCCCAGGCCATAGCCTAGCCTTAGTCCCCATAGGATAGGACTAGGCCCAGCTATGCCATGATCGGGCAATAAAGACCTGGTCCAAGCCCTCTTAGTGCCGGACCCGTCCTGTTTGGGACACATAAAATAGAAAAAAAATAAAATAAATGAAGAAATAAAGAAAAAGTGGACAAAACAATTAACATCCAAACCTAATTTTTTAGGGAAAATATCTTCATATCCCCTATTTTTAGGTTTCATTTCTTGATAAACCCAAGGTTTCAAAAGATATCTTCTAACCCCTCGCCACTTTAAACCCATTTTTTTAATCTAAACAAATGTGCGAAAGATATGCTCTTTCTAAAACCAATCCTCTCTTCACTTATATACCCCAAACTTCTCTCTTTCTCTATCTGCCCATGTCTCTCACTCTCTCTCTCCTCCTTGTGTTTCTCCAAACACGTCTCTCCGCCTGATAACCTCTCACCTCTATGAAATCTAACACAATCCTTTCTCTTTCTTCACTTATATACCCAAAATGTCTCTCTTTCTCTCTCTCTCCCTACATCACTCCCTCTTTCTGAAAACCTAAAGAGAGAGAGAGCGGGAGGAGAGAGAGTGAAGGAAAAGAGATGGGAAAGCCGAAGAGTGAGAAGGCATGCGAGGATAGAGAGAGAGAGAGAGAAATTTGGGAGGGTGGCTTTTATAAAAGGCATGTTGTTTTAGGTTTGTTTGGCCTAAAAAAACAGGTTTAAATTAGCTTAGGGGAGTAGAACTTATAAAATCTACAATTTTTATGCTTCAAAATATTTTTTAAAATCTTGAATCTATTGTAAAATGAAACTTAAAAATAAAGAGTATGAAGATATTTTTTCAATTTTTTAACATCCAACACTAGTTTATTAGTCACCATGTAGGGTTTCGGAGGGATCAAAATGGCCTCAAAATTTCCTATAATTTCTTCCTTGGAGATTATTAGGCATTCTTACCATTGTTGCATCTATTAAGGGTGATATTATGTTTGCGAAAAATTATGCTTTCATTTTTAGTCTCAAGAGAGGATGCCACCGTAGATGCATCTTTTTGGATTATATGACCAGCCAAAAGATATTCTGCTCCCGCTGGAGTATACTGTCCATTTACTCCCTCTAAACCCCACCTAAGACTAGTTGAAGGCCCCAAATTATGAGGATATGTCCTCTTTAACACTAAGGTTAACTTCAATAAAATAAAACACTAATTGTACCCTATAAGCACTTGAAAAAACATAATATTTTAAGATTGAACAAAGATCGTCCAATTTCTAGAGGGTGAGATCTAAGTGTAAGAAAACTCAAATTTCATTTTTATTTAAGAATAATTATCTAGCTAAGGTGGTTACCAAAATTTTGGATTAAAAAAAATCCTGCCAAGTAGATCATCTCACCAAGAGAGTAAAAATAAACTATGCTCCTAAGGTAGCATAATATACGGGAAAGGCTTTCTATGTGACCAAACTACATAAATAATATATATGACCCCATGGTCTTATCTATCAAATCTGAGTAGATGGCTGAGATGACTTGAGTAATAATGTTTCAAGCTAGCTCTTAACCATTAGAACTTGATCAGACGGCTCATAGTCTTTTTTATTTTTATTCTAGAAATAATTTTGAAGCAAAATTTGGGAAATGCATGATCTGATAGGGGCACACATGAGAAAAAAAATAAAAAAATAGTTTCGATGATAAAAAATTATCAGAATACCCCAGAAAATTGTAGACATAGTTTGGTCATTCATTTTTATAAAAAAAAATACTTGTTTTTTATTTTTTTCAGGTTCGCCCTAATTTTATGATGAGATACCCAAAATTTCATCAAAAAATATTTTGTTAAAAAAATAAAAAATAAAACAGTATTTGGAATGACATTGTGATATCCACAATCTTAATCATTCAATTCAAATCGAAGGGCTAAAAAGTGGAATTCCATATAATTTATATGTTGTTGGAGTCCCATAGAAATTCCCTACTCTTCGTGCACGATAAGATAAAGCAAAAGGGCCGTTATTTTATTGGTCGGACACTTCCCCCTCCAACACTTCATTTATACATGCACATATATGGACTTGTTGCGGTCGTCGACAAGTGTTCCAAGGAAACAACATACCCAAAAGTCAGTTTTTAGGCTCACTTGTTCTTGAGCTATTTATCATTAATTCACTTTTTTTAAAAAAAGAAAATGGCTTTTTGAACAAACTTTGAATGTTCGAAATTTTATACCGTCGAATGATGGCAAATAGACTTATGAAACCAGGATACCATGGACCAGTACTGTTCCTTTTCAATGGAATTAGTAGGAAATAACTAGAAGTGGCCTACACAAACAGGGCCTTATTAACATATTACTTTTCATGTTATCATTGGAAACATCATCACATGTTTTCTTACATACGTGGCCCGTAAACTTAAATGCTGCATGTTGTAAATTTTTGTTCATAAGATGGGTTTTGAGGTACGATATATGTATATATATCGAGAGATAGACACTCAACTTTATACTCTACAGGTAAGGTGCACCTAAAAAACCCATTAGTAATAGTTGCTTTTATGCTGGAAAATCTTTAAATCTATCATCTCGACCTCGAGATTTATAGACATAGAAAATAAAGAGAAGTTTTAGTCCTATAAATAATTTATCTTCTGACACATTATCTGAACCACCCATTTTCAAGATTTTCAAGTGTTTATATATGTGCTTGATCATCACCATTGCTGGAACTTTAAATTTCATAATTATGGGCAACAATCAATTTTCATAGCATTGCAAGGCTTTGTGGCACCGAAATGAAATTTTCAGCATAGTTTTGAGGCACACCTTACCTCAATAGCATAAGGTTGACACCTTATACACCATATAAGGAGTGATTTCATGCCAGGGTTGTATTGTAACATAATACAATAATCTTCAAAAACCCTGTTAGGGCCATTTGTTTGATCAAATTTTGATATATACACTCTTTTCATTCTAAAGAACAATCACAAAAAAAAAAAAAATGAAACGGAACCTAGACAGTATTTTTTTAGCCCAATTAATATAGGTCATCTATTTTGATAAGATTCTTAGATCTAGGCCTTGGAAGGATTTTTTCTTTTCCAGTTTTTCTAGATGGCTTTATTATCAGTTTTTTTAGATGAATGGTCTAGATTTGTTATTGGAGGGGATTCATTTTGATGGTATTTAGGGCTCAAATTGAACTTTGTCTTTTTGGATTGATTATTGAGATGAAAAGAGTGTGTGTGCAATATTTTTTGTCTTACAAATACCACAAACATGGTTTTCTAGAAGTATGGTTGCATACTATAATATAATGGTTACTAGCAATCACTACCCATATATCGGTAAAAAACTCTATATAGAGTTGAGGCTCTAAACAATCAAATTAGAGCCCACCTAAAAAATTACACTAAATGATGTTGTTTTTATGCCCAAATATCCTCAAATTGATCATCTCAACATCAAGATGTATGGACATGAGAAAAAAATAGAATTCAAATTTTGTAAATAGTGCAACTTGTAACATATTTTTTACCGTCAATTTTCAAGATTCTCAAGTTTTCATAGGTCTGCTCGATCTGTACAATTTTTTAAGCTTTAAATTTTATAATTAAAGATGACAATATATTGTAAGGCTATCACAAATATTTTTGGTATTGAAACCACTTTTCTCGAAACTATTCGAGGGTAGGCTTTACTTTCATTGTCTAGAGCCTCAACTCTATACAAACTGCACACACACACACACACACACACACACACACACACACACACACACACACACACACACACACACACACACACACACACACACACACACACACACACACACACACACACACACACACACACACACACACACACA